TTCGATATGGTTGTAATAATTAGACACCTATTTCATCCCCATTTGCAAATTGTATCCCCATCCCCTTAATGATGTAATAGCTTAGGATTTTAATTTCCACAATTTTACCGCTTTTCATATAATTTCTAGTAAGATAAGGTGTGTATGATAAGATAAAACCAACCGTTAGCAAAACCTAATCTCAAAGACTAAATGCATGTAATCAAACACACTTCACACACATACACCTCTAGGGTAATATCACTTATTACCTCAGAAAATAGTCATGTCCCTCGAATATGGGAGTATTAGCAAAGACCTCGATAAAATGATCGTAATCCCTCGATGTCCTTCGATGTTGCCTTCGGTAAACAATCTAGTCCCTAACAAAATTGCTAAGACGTCTCATAGGTTGCCTTCTATGACTATACAATTGACCCACGCCCGTCCCTTCACATCCAATGATAAGGCTTCTTATCAATCAATGGTAAGATAGCCACATCTAAAGGTGGAGGAAAATAACATTAGACCTTTTGAGTAGGTAGGAGCTCGTAGTTTCTTGCTCTTGAACTAAAACCATTTTCCATACTTACACTTTCAAAAACATCTTCAAGAACATCTCTTTGAACTATTTTCAAAACCAACACTTTGTACGCATTCTTATAGAGACGAGAATAATTACAAAGTTCGCTGCAACAAAGACATTTTGCAAAATATTTTCAAACCCACACCACAAATCACATTTTCAAACAAAAGCAAGTGATCTAGAAAGCAACTAAGAGCCCGTAGATAACTATGGATGAAAAGGGTGCTAACACCTTCCCTTTTCATAACCTACATCATAAACTCAAGAAATAATCTCAAAGGTCTTTCCTATTCTTTTCACCCTTTCCTTATTGGATAAAAGAAAAGTCGGTGGCGACTCTTTCTATCCGCAACAAGTGCAATCAAACACAAAACACCCAAGTCAGTTCTCCCACTGTATTACAGAACTGGAGACTCTGCCGGGGACACTTAAAAGTGGGGTTACCTTAGGTCTAGATCACCTTTACTTGCTTTTCATTGTTTGACTTTCTTGCTTTACATTATGGTTCCTTGTTTGGGCTTGTTTTGACTCTGTACCCAGATCTAGGGCACCTTTTAGGTAAGTAGCAATAAGTTGTGGAAACTGTGCGGGGTATACCGACATGGTCAAAGCAATAGCTATGTTAGTGTGACACATTTGTTGGTACCAGTAGCCCTTGAGTAGTCAAGGAGAATACGGGGCCGCTGTGTGGTGGCATGAAGAACTAACTGACTTTAGAACCTTACTTGAACAACTTGTCCATTAGGAAGTAGTGAGGTAGCCGACTTTGGTTTAGTCCGAAGTTGGTTGATACTCGATACTACGCTAATTGAGATTGGACTTTTGAGATATTTCGGTCCCCTTGAGCCTTAGCTTAGGTGGGTACGAACTCGTGCTCAGATTCTCGTAATGCCTTACCCCTCCATCCTACCTGTTATCATGGAGCCTGTTGTTAAAGGAGATGTTCCGTATATTTTCCTTTATCCCAACATGCCTACCTCGCTTGAAGACTTGCAAAAGGATTAGATTCAGCTAAAAGAAGAGTGAGACACCTTTGAAGCCCAATTCCATGCAAGTGAGAAGAAAGTTCTGGAACTCACAAAGCAGCTTAATGAAGAGCGAAGTTTGAACGCCTATATTGTGCCGAAGAGGATGCGTTCGACCTTTTTGTCTTAGGAGTTTTATTTTTGTATTTTATTTCTTTCGTTGTAAGCCCAAAGAGGCATGATGTAATCAAACTTGGATTTATTAATGCAATGTGTGTTTCCTTTTGTCTAAGCAAATTTAAATCTTCTAGTTTCCTTGAAATCATTCGCATATGCATTTTCATTCATCGAGAAAGGTAAACATCGAAAAAACCTGAGAAGGGAGAAGTCGCGGTCTTGCGACCGAGAGATCGAGTAAGGGAGTCTGTTACGCGAGGGGAAGGTATTAGCACCCCACACGCCCGTAGTACTCTACGGTATCCACTCTTGTTATCTGTCTTATGGGTGTGTTTAATCTATATCTAAACTGTACAGGAAATGCATGCAAAATAAAAGAGAAAAGAATGTAGGGAAAATGAAAAGTTGTGGTGCTCGCTTGGGCCCTACCCCAATGCCTACGTATCCCTTTTAAGGAATCAGAGCAGCCGTAGTTCGGCTTACATGTTATTGTTTGTTTGTATTTTTTACTGAACAGTATTAATTTCGCCTTCTGCCACAACTCGACCGTTGGAGACTTACGCGTCAGCACAGAAGTGAATTAACATGCTCTCTTGAAAAGTTTGGAAAGAAATGTGCCTGGACGCACAAAAAGTTTTGAATTCGTTTGTTTTTGAATGAACGATAGTAATTTCGCCTTCTGCCGCAACTCGACCTTTGGAGATTTACGCGTCAGCACAGAAGTGAATTAATATGCTCTTTTGAAAAAGGTTTTTTGAAAGGAAGGCCCGAAGGCAAAAAGAATTTTATGTTTGTTGGTGTTTTTTGTTTGTAGAGAATAACTAGTTAATCTCAAGGGAGTGATTTTAGTCATGTCTCTACTTATTCATGAAATGAGTCTTTGAGACTTGAACCATACCAAAGCTTAGATCAAGAGATCAATAAGGTCGAGAAGATACCCGCTTATTGTCTCACATACTTAACGAAGATATGATTCTCGTCAGTAAATTTTTATGTGCTTTTGAAGTTTGTAAAAAAGGAGAAGTTTTTGTTTTAACTGCATATACAAAAAAAGGAAGAAAAGTCACAGGGAGACTAGCCTATTTCTAACTCTAATTTTATCATGCATTGTTAGACCTAAGTCAAGTATGAGTGAAAGAAAAACATCTACCTAATGTTAGCATGCATATGGTTTGCGATAAAGAAATGCAATAAAGTGCGAAATGAGGGATAAAATAAGGCCACAATGATACCGAACGGAGAAGGTCCGTTGCCTTTTCAAAGTCACACAAGTGATACGAAAACTCTACCGAAAGCTGCTCCGCATGAGTGATCATATAATTAATCTCCAAGCATTCCATATTGCAAAAATTGCATCGATACTATCACAAAGATCTTGACTAAAAATGGCAATAAAAATGATTACCAAATATGAAAAATAAAATAGTGAAAAGAAACTCTAATCGAGATTCTAAAATATTCTACCACTTTTTTATCATTATTTTTTTTATATAGAGAAAATTCTAACAAACAAACAAGAATTAACTCCTAAATAAAAAAAAACTAACAAGTTTTTATGGATCTTAGAATTTTATCATAAAAAAGAAATAGACAAAATTATATTCAAAAAATAAAATCTTAAAGATTATGAGGACAAGGGGTGTAGTATTGAAATCAAGGTGTCTGACTAATATTAGGTGCTAGGCCCAAGCTGGAACAAGTCCAAAAGCAATTTTTTATAGCACAAACTTCAGGCCAAACAAAGGATTCACGAGCCTAATGTAGAGGAGTATATTGAATCAATACCCAGTAGTGAAGTTGTAAGGCCCAATTATGAGTGAGGTCCAGTAGACTGAAATAATAGCAAGGTCCACGAGATTTCTACCAGCATTTTGTTTCCATAACAATAAAAAAAAGTAAAGGGTTAAGAGGATAATACAGCGTAGTTTGGAAGGGATAGGGTTCAGATGCTTGTGACCCTCCAAGTCCACGAACAAAGAGTTCTCCCTCCTTCTCTCTCAAACACCGTCATGAACCTTCCTTCTTCCACCGCTTCTTTGTCTCAGTCTTCACACACTGTCGTCCTTTGCATTGAGTTCTGGAAATCAAGACTGACCCAACCTTCACCAATTCGATACCATGTTCATCTTCTTCTTACAACACGCTGTGGACCTTTTCCTCACAACATCTCTCGATCCCTCGATCTTTCCGTAAGATTCACTAATAATCGCCTTCATCATTTCTGATTCTCGCAGATTCTCATTTATTCAAACTCTGATCCGTAACACCGGCTGCACAAGCTTCAATCTCATATAAGATTCAACCTTCGCGATCCGATTCTTCGCCACGCTCCTCTCTGGATTTGAAGAAGATATATTTATAGAACCAGAGATGAGGTAATAATCTGCTTTTTATCTGTTAGTTCCTCTTCTTCTATCCTCTTCTGCTCTTTAATTTCACGTTTGGATTTTGTTTCTGTGTGAAGATTGAAGGTTGGTAGTGATGATGATGAATACATTTTGCAGAGAGCCTTAAGGATTTTGGAGTTTAAAGATCCTTTTCAGAAATCAAGAACAGATGAGAGAAGATGAAGATTATGCTTGAAGCAGAGAGCGAACTGAGAGTTTTTCTGGTTTTTTGTGATGGTGATTCTTCCACCGATTGAAGAAATGAAGATGAAAAGAGAAGAGAGATTTTTGTGTTTCTTCTTCCAGTTGAATAATGAAGGTTAGAGGAGCAGAGAGAAGGTTGAATGTTCTTTTTGCAGAATTGAAGAATGAAGATGAGAGGAGAAGAGATAATTTTTTTTATGTGATTCTTCTGCAAGTTCCAGAATCAATGTGAATTGGTAAGTTTCTATAGTTAAATATATTATCTATATCTTAAACAATAATGAATCTCCCCCTGTTATATAGCTATCAAAAATCTGTTAGAAAGCAGTTAGTTATTGTGAGTTGGTTATCTAGAGTTAGTTATAGAATTGGTTAGGAGTTAGTAACTGTTTAGAGTTAGTTAGAAAATTCAGTTATGTGACCTTGAAATGGGCTTGCACTATTTGTTAGTTTGTAGTTCTGTTTCTGATTCCATCATTTATATTTGCAGCTTGCAGGGTAGCAACAAGAACTATTGCTTCATCAGCCTCATGATTTTGTATGCAAATATATGGAAGTCATCTTCAAGTCTCCGATTCATGTGCTTCCTTTGCTATCATGTCACTCAGTTTGTCACGGCGAACTCATTGCGGAGTTGAAATTGATCTTCTCTACTTCTTCCTCGGATGTCTAATTGTGCAGCTCATGAAGATTAGCTTGCAGTTACTCATTCTTGAAGCAGGTTTCAGCTACTCCCTCTTTCTTTTCAGGAACTAGTAAGCTATTATCATCATCAATGGGTAAGCCAAAATCATCATACTTCCTCACATCCTTTCTGCTAGCTTTTGTTGGTAAACTGCCTCTTGCATTTAGAACCACCTTCCCCAGGCCCGTGCCAGGATTCAGTTGTTTATCAGCATAGGGAACATGTTCAGTTTTTGATTTCTTAGGAGTTCCAGAACTAGATTGATCAGCATTTGTCTTATGTTTCAACTTAATATACTTTCTGGTACCTTCACTTGTTTTCTTTTCTCTCTCTTCGGACACATGTCTCTCTTCTATCGTGTTGTTAGACCTGTTGGGATGTTTCATCTTCATTGGTTTAGAATCTGTAGAATGTTGATTCAAGTTTCTATTTTTTCCTGATACTTGAGCATTGAGCTTTCCTGACATTATCTTTTCCTTAAAAACAGGTTTCTTCTTTCCTTGGTAAAGCAACACGTTAGAATTGGACTTTTTGTGATTCAGACCAAACTGTGATGCATCAGCAGAGCTCACTCCAAATGCAGTTTCAGAGGCATGCGTTTGCAAGTTATTTTGACCCTCAGAAATCGGCACTTGATATGAAGCATACAATGCCTTTGTTGTCTCATCCTCACTGAAGTCACAAGAATTCATCCCAGGCAGCCAATTAAGCATGACACACAACCATTTCTATGGAAGTTGCTCTGGCTTTAAGCCAGAGGGTAGAAGCCTCCATTTCTGGCATTTGTCGCAAGCTACCCAATCTTCTGCAATAAGTTGAGGTGCTGCTACTGCTGTTGGAATCATCTCCAGTAGCAGTATTATTTTCAGCCATGGGAAATGAACCCAGATCATCTGTTTTGTGTGGCCCAGCTAGCGAGTGGTTAACCACTTTATTTCCACTTGGTCTTTCCTTTACTTCAGCGCAAAATGCAGTCTGTTTTTCATTATTATTGTTAGACTTGGAAGTCTTAACAGAACTATTACCAGGAAAATCATCGGCTTTCTGATCTGAGTTTTTCTCTTTCAATGACCCTTATTTCAACTTCTTGCTGAAGTCTGATAGTTGAAGAACGTGAATTCTGGCAATAGATGTAGCTTCCTGACAATGGTGGCTACTTCTGCATAAGCATCCATCGCCCCCAATTTTTTCCAGTACCGGCCCCTTCAGAAAGGACCCTGTGATCAGCTAGCACAATTGATAGGTGGGCAGCATCAATATCCTTCATCTCCTGTTTCCTTAGACAGGTATAGTACATCCGGAAGCAATTAAATGCTTAAAAGCAAGGTATAAGAATATACCAGAGGATCTTTTTCCATTTTTTGTATAGTATGATAATTCAAATTTGTTCAGGTAACTTTGCAAATCATCCAAAGTGTATGGAATCACACTGTCACTTAGAACAAGGGATGAAGATCCACTTGGGCAGTCCCGTACAGCCGACAATTTGAACCACAAGAAATCATCTATCGAACTAAAAAGATTCTGTTGATCTCTAAGCAGGTAATCAATATGTCTTCGAGGACCTGATATGATGGCATGATTGCTTGTATTGACTTGGATTTTTTTTGTATGAATGTGCAGGTCATGAACTGAAGATGAAGAACTTTGGCATGGCATGGAATTGGAAGTTTACTCATGGAATTTTAACAACTTTTAGGACTAAGGAATTTTGTTCAAGTGTATTTTGTAACCGTTCTCTTTTCTTTGTAGAATATTGGTGTAATGGGATTGTAATGATTTTATAATGAATGTTTGGTACGGATGAACTTGAAATTTATAGTGTGAATTGTAAATGACCCTTGAGCTTGAAATGTTAGGTGATGAATTTTAAGGACGGGGTTTAAATGACAAAAGTCTTGAAAAATGCTTGAAGACATGAAAGCATCAAATTTTCTTGTAAGGTATTGTTACACTTGAATGAAATTGAATCGAATTGGATAGTATTTTTTGAATCATGAACGAAAGAGTTCGAATAAACTTTGAACACATGTGAACTTGAATCTGGAATAATGATGAACATCTTTGTAATGCGTATGAACTCCGACTTGAAACAAAACCTCGCAGTCTGTACTTTACCTTCCAAGAAAGCCATATGAACAATACTTAAGACTCTTTGCCGACTTTAATCCAATCAAACACTTTCGAACATCTTGAATTTAAATCAAACTTCAAATCCAAATCACACTTGCATTCTCAATGAACTCCTAACTTCAATCTTGAATCCCAAATCAACTTGAATGACAAATAATTCGAATAGCCAATAAGATCTTGATCCTAAAAATTCACAACCTTGACGACCTTTAATCCACAAGTTTCTTATCTCGACGAGGTCCTTCTCTAATTGACGACCTTTAATCATCAAAGATGTACACAAATGATAATGAAAGAACATGATCGAGATTAACATGAAACTTTATTTCCCCTGATCTTCAATTACTTGAACATTTATCAATGAATAGAAACCCTGATTTTTAATGAAATCTTCCTTTTCTGAACCAATATTTCTTTTCCTTTACCATACTATTCTTCAAATGCAACTCGAATTCCCAACACATATTAGATGAAAATTCAAGGGAGACCTTGGCCCCAAAGTTAATTGTTCAAAGCTTACTTTAACCGAAGTCAACAGATCTTATCCTCGTATCTTTGAACTTGGCCCATGATTATGCATCTCAAGGTCTCATAAGAGCTTGTAAGCCCATCAACCAGGTATGCCATGTTGAACAAAACCCTGCCTTGAATGCCTTGAACTTTCAATTACCTTGCATGAATTCTTCCCTGAGAAACCCACTTCAATCCCAACCTAATCGCATCGCAGATAACAAATGACAATGATGAGGACAATGATTGCCTTGGTTAAGGAGAAATCTATGAATTCATATCTTAGGTCATGAACCACGCTTCACAATTCAATCCCCAGCCCTTAGCGATCGGTTATTTAAACTTGAAATTAGCGTCATAAGGAACATCTTACAGAGGGATGATAAAGTCTGAATCACAGAAGAATTCCCTTGACGTGAAACCTAGTTGCACAAATGAAAACCCCAGCACTTGTCGAGACTGGATAAAAGCAGTTATATCTTGAGGAGAAAGAAATCATGTTAACCACACCTCACAATCTTGATTCCACATTTAGATGCACAGAGAAATATCCGGATAAAACATCTTTGAACCATGATTCAACAAAACCTAAATTGATTAACTGAGGAGTAGATGAATGTCATGTCACAGTCATTAATCCAAATCAAATGACAAGCATACTTATAGAAAAGGATGCCATGCTTCAAAGTCCACATATGCTAGGTCACGTCCTAGAGTTCTTGACCAGAATGACCTACAACCAGTTGTTCATCAAAAGATATTAGCCCAGTAACTTGGTGGAGAAGAAGTCCAGAAATGAGCCTAAAAAAACCTAATTCCAAAGCTTGTTACATGAATAAGAAATCATCCTTTATTGGATACGAGCGCCTTAACCACTGTGAAACCCTAGTATCGCACAACCACTGAACTTTGAACCTCAGAGCTATATTTAATGAAATGTATGCCATGTTAGTAACCTAATGAAATAGATGCAGATGAATGAAAAAGTCTAAGCCAAAAAAGTGCAATTAGGAGGGCAAATTTTGGGGTGCAACAGCTGCCCCTATTTAATCGCCTTCAATCCTGAAGGTGAGATTGGCGTCAGCCTTTCGAACTTTCAGGGTGGAAGAAGATTAAATACTAAAAGAACCCGAAAATTTGCGCTCTGAAGCCAGTCAGGTATTATTATATCTTTGGTTTTTCTGTATCTTCTCTATATTTTTTTTGTAAAAAGGATTATCAGGGTTAGATGTATGTTTAACCGGAGTTTGACACATAGAAAAATAACTTGGTTATCAAGGAACATTTGTTGGGATTTAGTAACAAACACCTGTAAGAAAGATATCAAAAGATATATGCCTGAAGTCTGTAGTAGACATACGAGAAGAAGCATCAGAGACACATATCCGTGGTCAGTATCGGATACGTACAAAAGAGACATCAAAGATACATATCCATGGTCGGTATCGGATACTCACAAAAGAGACATCAAAGATACAAGAATATATGTCTGGGGTTGGTAGCAAACATATAAAACAGGTATCAAAAATACATATCCGTGGTCGGTATCGGATACATACGAAAGAGATATCAAAGATACATATCCGTGGTCGGTATCAGATACGCACAGAAAAGATATCAAAGATACATATACATGGTCGGTATCGGATACGCACAAAAGAGATATCAAAGATACATATCCATGGTCGGTATCAGATACGCACAAAAGAGATGTCAAAGATACATATCCGTGGTCGGTATCGGATACGCACAAAAGAGATATCAAAGATACATATATGTGGTCGGTATCGGATATGCACAAAAGAGACATCAAGATACATATCCATGGTCGGTATCGGATACGTACGGAAGAGACAGACCGAAGAAAGCCCTTACAAAGATGTCAAGAACACATGTCTGGGATTGGTAGCAGACATATGAAACAGGTATCAAAAATACATATCTGTGGTCGGTATCGGATACGTGTGAAAGAGGTATCAAAAATACATATCTGTGGTCGGTATCGGATACGTGTGAAAGAGACAGACCGAAGAAAGCTCTTACAAAGAAAACACCAATCGAAGGTGAACTTACTGAGGGAAGAGACCAAACAAATGGGACTCCTGACAAATGATACCAGTCGACGATGGATTTTAACAAATGATACCAGCCGAAGCGGGGTTTTGAAAAAATACCCGCCGGAGCCGATTTTTTTTTGAGAAATACCAGCCGAAGCGGGATTTTGAAAGATGCCAGCCAAAGCGGGATTTTAAGGGATGTCAGCCGAAGGGGAATCCTCATCGAGGAATACTATGCCAAAGGTAGATTCCTAAGAAAAGAACGTCGGTCGAAGGCGAACTTACAACTGCAAAGAGACCAGCCGAGGGGGACTCTCAACAAATGATACCAGCCGGAGGTGGATTTTAAAGGATGCCAGCCGAAGGTGGACTTTAGGATAAAGAAACCAGCCGAAGGGGAATCTTCATCAAGGAATACTATGCCGAAGGTAGATTCCTAAGAAAAGAACGCCGATCGAAGGCGAACTTACAACTGCAAAGAGACCAGCCGAAAGGGACTCTCAACAAACGGTACCAGCCGACGATGGATTTTAACAAATGATACTAACCAAAGCGGGTTGAAAAATACCCGCCGGAGCCGGATTTTGAAAGATACCAGCCGAAGGTGGACTTTAGGATAAAGAAACCAGCCGAAGGGGAATATTCATCCAGGAATACTATGCCGAAGGTAGATTCCTAAGAAAAGAACGTCGGTCGAAGGCGAACTTACAACTGCAAAGAGACCAGCCGAAGGGGACTCTCAACAAACGGTACCAGCCGAAGGTGGATTTTAAAGGATGCCAGCCGAAGGTGGACTTTAGGATAAAGAAACCAGCCGAAGGGGAATCTTCATCCAGGAATACTATGCCGAAGGTAGATTCCTAAGAAAAGAATGTCGGTCGAAGGCGAACTTATAACTGCAAAGAGACCAGCCGAAGGGGACTCTCAACAAATGATAAAGGTATGCATATCTGGTCAGAGTTGGATACACAAGAGCGAAATTGATCATCAAGAAACAAATGTTTAGAATTGCTAGCGAACACAGGAACGAGACTAACCAAAGAAAGCCCCAATAAAAAAAGGGACGCATTCGCCTAAACAAGGGCGCCAGACAATTGGACTTTGAAGATACATTGAAAGACTCTTAATCATAAAAAGTTAGCTAGGCTAACGAAAGGAGGACCCGACTAACGC